ATTACATCTTTCGTCTTGATTCCCTTTACCGCCTCCGCCTCTACCCATTTAGTGAAGTAGTCAACGGCAACAAGTATGTACCTCCTGCCGCCTGTAGCAGGCGTATATGGACCCAGAATGTCCATGCCCCACTTAGCAAACGGTAGTGGGCTATGAATGGTAATGAGGTCAGTAGCCGGACGGTGAATTAGTTCGCCTCTATTCCTCTCTGATTGATAAGGAATCCGAGAAATTTCCCAGACTCAACTCCAAAGACACATTTGTTGGGATTGAGCATGACATGGTGCCGCCTGAGTGTGGCGAAAGTTTCTCGGAGGTCCGACAGATGATCTTTCTGAAGTTTAGTCTTGACAATCATATCATCAATGTATGCCTCGACGTTTCTCCCAATCTGATCAAAGAACACAGTGTTTATCACTCGCTGGAAGGTAGCCGGGGCATTCTTAAGACCAAACGGCATGACCGTGTAACAGTATAACCCCTGATCAGTGACGAAGGCCGTCTTCTCTTGATCTTTCTTCCATAAAGGAATTTGATGGAAACCAGAATAGGCGTCCATAAAGCTCATCAAAGCATGGCCGGCTGTTGAGTCGACCAGGTTATCAATTTTAGGCAGAGGGTAACTGTCTTTGGGGCACGCCTTGTTTAAGTCTGTGTAGTCTACACACATTCGCCAGGTGCCATTCGGCTTTTTAACAAGCACCACATTTGCAACCCAGTCTGGGAAGTAACATTGCCGAATGAACCCTGCATCAAGTAATTTTTTCACTTCGGCGGCTACCGCCTGACTTCTTTCTTCGCCATGGTTCCGTTTCTTCTGCCGTACCGGCTTCTTTTTGGGATCCACAACCAGTTTATGTACCGCCAGATCAGGACTAATGCCTGGCATTTCATGGACTTCGAATGCAAAGATGTCCTTGTATTCTTTCAAGAGTTTGTGAAACTCGTCACCAAGGTTTCTCAGAGCAGTCGTCCCAACTTTGACTGTTCGGTCAGGACGTGAGTCGTCTAAGATAAGGTCCGCATGCTCACCAGCCGGCTGAGGGCGGAACTCATCCGACCGCTCCTCTACCAATGATTGCTATTTTCTTTCTTTTCTTGCGGCCCCTGTCTGGGATGCCTTTCTCTTTTTGCTGCCTGCTTCTTGAACAGGCCCACTCTCCTTGACATTGTCAAGGTCTGTTTTTTCACCGCTTGACCCAGTGGCCATAACAGTGGGCTTGACATCCGAGAGATAGCACTCTCGGGCCATCCTCTGATCTCCCCTTAGGGAGCCGACTGTTCCATTATCCCTCTCAAACTTGAGCAACATAAGAGATGGGATTATAACAGCCTTGGAATTATTCAGGGTTGGTCGACCCAGAATCATGTTGTAGGCCGAGAGTTCCTCTACTACTAGGAACCGGACTACCATGTGTCGTCCTTCCCCTTTTTCGCCCAGGCGGATGGGTAAATCTACTCGTCCCAGTGGGTGGACGACTCCTCCTCCAAACCCTACTAAAGTGTGGGAGGCCAGATGTATGCAATCAGTCTGATATTTCAGTTTCGACAGACATTTGCTACTGATAAGATCTGAGGAGCTTCCGGTATCTATGAGGATTCGGCCAACTCTCTGGTTGGCCACTTTACATTCAATGACGATAGGGTCGTCATGCGGCCCTCTTACCCCTCCTAGATCTTCTTCAGTGATGACAATCTCAGGAAATGAATATTTGGACAGCCGTTCTTGGTGAAAGGAATTTACATCTAACCGCCTGATATTGTCTTTGTTGCCCCTAATAGTGGGGCCGCCTCCTGAGAAGCCGCCTGCAATGGTGTAGACGACTGCATCATCTGTATCGGAGCTTTCGGCCTGTTGATTCTTTTTGGCCGACTGCTTTTTTGAGGAAGTGTTCCCCGTAGATTTCTTGACATAAGTGTCAAGATCACCTTGCTCAGCCAGGCGGTCCAGATACCGCATGAGACTGATGCAGTCATTGGTGTGATGACCAACATCATCATGATAAGCACAGAATTTATCTTGGTTCCGGTTGTTTGCAGAACCCTTCATGGGGACCGGCTTCTCAATTGAGATCCGTCCCTTGATTTCTTTTAGGATAAACTGGTTATCCTTGTTAAACGCATACTTTGGGGAGTATGGTTTGAATTCTTTTTTCTTTTTCTGGGCCGGCTGTTTAGAGGAATCAGCCGCCCAGACCTCTTTTCTCTTCTCATCTTTGTTTGACGACTGTTTCTGTCGTCCTTCTCTTTTGTCGAACCTTTTCCCGTCCGACTGTTTTACCGTACAAAGATCAGTCGCCTGTATATAGGCTTCTGCTTCAATCAAGGCCTCTTGAAGAGTCCCCACCCTCTTTCGAACCAAATCAAATTTGAAGGTAGACCCGTCTTTGAGACCTCTGAAAAAGTCAGTATAGGCTACCTCATCCGGTAACCCTTGAATCTGTATTCTCATCAGGTTAAACCGCCTGATGTAGGAACGAAGCCCCTCCTTTTCGCCCTGCTGAATTGTTCCTAAATCAAGGGTTGTTTTCTTCGCAGGGATGTTCATGGCGAAGTTGGAGGTGAATAAGTAAGCAAGCGTCCTGAAGCTATTTACACAACCAGTCGGCAGGTTGCCGAACCATTGTTGTGCGATTCCTTTGAGAGTCGCTGGGAAACACTTGCACCAAGTGGGATCATCCAACCCTTGAAGGTACATCAGGTTGGTGAATGCCATCAGATGGTCTTCTGGGTTAGTAGTGCCGTCATAGGCGCCTACTAGTACATTTTTCACTTTGGCCGGCTGAGCGGCTTCAGTAATTTCCTTGGAGAAGGCCGACGGCTGTTCACCAAGTCTAAGCAACCGTAGCTGCCAGTCCATAGGTTGGACGTTTTTTGCTGCAGGTCCACCAAACGGAGGTGGCTGCAAAAAATACTGTTGTTGCGGCACAAATGGTAAGTTTGGTACCGCCTGGTCGCTATGAAAGCCGGACTGACGGGAGGTGCCGCCTGACTGACTCTCATGATACGACTGAGTATGCCTCATCGAGGCATTTCGCAGACTGTCTTGAAAGTTTGAAGTAGAGGCCGACTTTGACAATCGGTCACTCTTCTTCTGCTCTAGCAGTAGCCGAGCGTCTGTGAATGTCTGCTTCGACCCGTCCGCCTGAATATGACGAACAGGTTTCCTATTTCCTGTAGGAAAATGAAATTTTGTGAAATCAAGGGCAGGTGGCTCCCGCTTCCTAGATTTAGGATGAGGAGTCGCCTCTCGCCCTTGAACTGGCTTCCTCTTTAGTGAAGTGGAGGGTTTCTTGGCCGACTGCTCCTTGACTGGAGCAGACGGCTTCTTGTTGATCAACTCTTGAATCTCTCCCTTGAATGTCCTCATGAAGGTCATGAGTTCGTTCCTTGTGATGGGAGCAGACCCATCAGTCGGCTGTTGCCGAACAGGCGGTGCGCCTGCTGGCTCACTTCCAGTTTGAAGATGTTCCCGTTCCCTCCTTTCGGTATGACGGGTACGTCGGGCCCTTAGGGTCCCGTCTGAAGCTGTGTGAGCTTCAACTTCAAATTCACTCTCGGTATCATGGTCCGACTGAACTTGAGGGTCGTCTAGGGGACGCCTCTCTTCAGGAGTCGGTACAGACCTGGATGCCATCTCAGAAGTACTCTCCCCACAGACGGCGCCAGATGTTTCGGGGTTTTCTGATGTCCTGCGGGAGAGTTACAATTCCGAGACTGGAACCGGACGCCTGTACCTGCAAAATAACGGAGACTCCTGGGAGCTCCGCCTCCAACGGTCAAGTTAGTACTTGATTAAGGAGTAATTAATGCGGAAATTAAAGTGATAAGGTCTCTCTAGGTGAGAGTGATTAACGTAGGTAATCTGCTTTGTTAGCGAGATCAGCCGGTTATTACTGTGTGTAATTAATGTGTTTTTTCCGTAATGTTTCTGTGTTTTTTTTGTAATCCCCCTTAATGAGGATTAAGGGAGGTATTTATAACCTTGGGAAACGTGCCCATCCTAGGTTTAGGTAAGCCTAGGGCCGATTGGGCTTCCCTCGGAAGTTGGGCCTGGGTGGCCGGTTTCTCCATTAGGCATGGAGTATGCCACATGTCTTGACATAACATGTCCAAGGTGGACGAATAAGCGCGTGCCACGTGGGAAGCCCTGGCTGTTCCAACTGGGGGACACTTGGCAGGACCTGATTGGTCCACGTGGCGCATTCCGATTGGTGGGAGCAAAATCCCCTAATCACCCTTCAAGCAGAAAAAAATTACTATATATACCTACTATTAAAAATTAACAAGCTCGGAAGCGCACACAATGCATACAAAAGTATAAATGTTGATATTAAGTTGAAGACCCCTATGGCCCTTCCTGCCTAAATAAAAGTCACAACATAATCTAATAATTTAATCTTATCATAGTTTAATCATAGTACAACTTTAAAAAAGTATCATACACTTCAAAACAAATCTAATAATTTAATCTTATCAATTAACATTAAGGTTTGAGGCAACATATACTCCAAACTCTCCATATAAATACTTTATAGTTGGTAATTATTTATGCAAAACATAATAAGTCAGTATATAATCCGAAGACACTAATGTCTTCGATAAGCAATGAGATAACCGGCTAACAATTCATTGACCTACCACCCAATATTCTATATGAGTAAAGAATTAAGATAAAATTAAGGGATAATTCAAAATTTTTCACTACAAGAATTAGCTCAAATACCGACGGAACTGAAAATTCGTCGGAAAAATCGATATTTCCGACGGAATGTTTTTTTTCGTCGGAAATATCCGACAGAATAATTGGACTTTCCGACGGAATTTTCCATCGAAAAAGGTCTTTTCCGACGGAAAATTATTCCGTCGGAAGTTTTCGACGGAAAAATCCGTCGGAACATATAGCTATAAAAAAGAAAAAAAAATTGTAAACTTCCTAACCCTACATCCCCCCTTTCTCTACCGCCCCTTTTCTTTTTCCCTCTCTTCTCTTTCCTCTCTCTCTCCTCCTTCTCCTTTTCGACGGAAAAATCCGTCGGAACATATAGCTATAAAAAAGAAAAAAAAATTGTAAACTTCCTAACCCTAAATCCCCCCTTTCTCTACCGCCCCTTTTCTTTTTCCCTCTCTTCTCTTTCCTCTCTCTCTCCTCCTTCTCCTTTCCTTTCTTCTGTTGTTCCGCGCGCGACCCCTCTCTACTCCATTCCTCTCTTTTCTTCTTCTTCTCTCCTCTTCATTTTCTTCCCCTTGTTCTTCTATCACCACCACCACCAACATCTCTGCCATCACCACTGACAACAACCAACATCACCGCCATCCCCGCCACCAACAACACCACAACAACAACAACACCACAACAAAGCCCACGAAGATTTTCCGACCATATTCCCGACCACATTCCCGGCGTTTATGGTTTTAAGGTCAAGTTCGACCATGGAAATGCTAGATCTAGCGTTTTCATGGTCGAATTTGGCCTTATATAACTAATTTTCAGACCAATTTCAAGACTTTGAAACGTTTTGGTAAGTTTTTGGGTCTGAATTTCAAATTATTTTGTTCTGTTTTTTTTTTCGGTTTTTAAGTTTACTAGATCTAAAATACATGGTTACGGTGGCTGTTGAAGTTCGGGTTTAGGGTGTTGGGATTTTAATTTTTTTTTTCTACTTTTTTTTTTGTTAATTTTTTCGGGTTTCTGCGATGGTTTTAGGTGGGTTTCGGCGGTGGTTTTAGGTGGGTGATGGCGGTGGTCTGTTTTCATTTTTTGTTTATTTTTTTCTTTTTTTTGTTCTGTTTTCATTTTTTTCGGGTTTTAAGTTTTCATTTTAATTTTTTTTGTTTGTTTTTTGTTAATTTTTTCGGGTTTGGTGGTAGATCTGGTGGTTGTGGGTGGGGTGGTAGATATGGTGGTTATGGGTGGGGTTGTAGATCTTGTGGTTGTGGGTTTTTTTTGGTGGTTGGAGGTGTCTGATGTTGGGTTTTTTGGTGGTTGGAGGTGGTGATACGCCGTGCCAGTGGTGGCGCGGCGTATTTTTTCTAAATTTCAGAAAAGCAATTTCCGACAGAAATTCCGTCGGAATTGAATCCGTCGAAGTTTTCCGACGGATTGTTGCAGTACCTAAAAAAAATTTTCTGTCGGAATAGTGTTTCCGACGGAATTTTCGTCGGAAAAGTTCATTTTTCCTACAAATGCTTTTCCGACAACTTCTTCCGACGGAATTCCGTCGGAAACCCTATTTCCGACGGATTTCAGGGTGTTTCCGACGGAATTTAGCCTATTTCTAGTAGTGTTTGGTAGTAATGCTTATGCTGTATAATTTCCCTTTTTTTTGTAGATTTTTAGCCCTTTTTATGTTATCCCACTTTTACAGTTTTGATTTTAATTGTTTTGTTTTTTTTTTTCTTTTCTAATCACACGTTTACAATCCTTAGCTGTAATGCTTATGCTTTATATTTTCTTTTGTTTTTATGTAATCCCACATTTACAATTCTTGGTAGTAATGCTTATGCTGTATATTTTCTTCTGTTTTTCAAATTTAGATAAAAATAAAGGATATTTTTATCAAATTTTTTGGTAGTTATGCTTATGTTGTAAAATTTGTTTTTGGGTAGATATTTTTTTACTTTATTTATTTAATCCCACGTTTACATTTTTTTTTTGTTTTCTAATCCCACGTTTACAATTATTGGCAGTTATTTTCTTCTGTTTTTCAGCTTTTAAAAAAAGTTTACATTTTTGTAGTAAATAAAGATTTTTTTAAAGGGTATTTTGGAAAGGGAAAATTCCCAACACCAAAAAAGGGTGTTCCCTTTAAAGAGTAACATAGATTTGATACTCTATTGAATAACTATAAGTTTATAATTATTAATTTGCCTTTTTTTAAAAAAAATCCCAACTATGTAGTATTTTATACTTATTAATTAGCCTATTAAAAAAAAAACTGATTAATACGCTATTGAATAACTATAAAACTGATACTCCAAAGTGAAACATACAAAAGATCATATAAACTCACTATAAATACATATGTAGGTTATAAATTTAATGCACTAAAACAAGTTAAATACAATGTAGTTATTGTTATTATTACAGTATAGTTCAAAGATGTTAATTTTAGTTTACGTTAAGTACAATTACATGACTTTCATCATCAAAGAAAAGCAATAATAATCCAATCCTTTAGTAACAAAAAAAAAAAAAGGTAAAAAAAATTTTACAAAAAAAAAAATATACCCACTAATCCAACCGTAGAAGTTATTTCATCCAAAATTAGGATATAAAACAAGGGAAGAAAACTACCCACTTAATCTCACCACTTATTAAACAAAAACAAATTCCCCCCCCCCCCTAACCCATACACTCCACTTTCAAAACCTTCAATTCAACCCTCTCATTTCTTTAATCATGGTGGTAATCAAAGAGATTTCTGATGACAGTGTAAGTTGTTCTGAATCGATAATTATGTACCATAATGAAGTTCATTTTTTTGTGAATATTGTGGTGTATTTCATATATATTTGATTTATTTATTTTTATGTGTTCATCATAAAATGAATTTTAGGCACTTAATTTACAACCAACACATACCTACAAGGATGACAATGATAAGCTTGCAAACGAACCGGTAGTGTTCATAGTCGTTGTATATTGATTCTCTTTTCAAAGTACAATTTAAATATGTCTTTTGTTGGTCCTTTTACTTATCAACTCTTTTTTAGTGTCAGGATGTTGATCGTAAGAGAAAACAAGTTTTAGAGAATGAGGAAGACGTTGGAACATCATCACAAGGAAAGCAGAAAAAGGTGTATTTTCGATTTAAATTTGTAGTCAGCAAGATAGTTATGCATCACTATTCATTTTACAAATATACTTGTTTTTAAATAAATGACATAAAACATTTGAATAAAATAGACCTTGTTTATCCTATACTACGTACTACATAATCGGATGTGATTTTGTAGAAATGCTTAACCGTTTACTCTACATTTTCTTTTATCACACAGTTAATTATATTAGTCTATTGATTTATCCCTCTAAATTTTGAATTACTTTAGGATAATGTCACACATCTTGGAAAAGAAGTGGAACATAATGCACTTCTCGAATGGAAAAGATCGGTATAAATCCCAATTTCTTGTACTATTTTTTTTGTTTATTTTACTTAAAAGAATAGTTATTCAATATTGTGTTTTATATACTAAATTAAATGTAGTTCAGTTAGTGTAGGTTATGTACTTTCGAAAAAACATAAAATACAATGTAGGTAATGTACTACAATTAATATGTCTTTAAAGTCAGTGGTTCTAGTCTTGTTGCCGACAATTTCATAGTATTATTGCAAAAACATTTCATTGTTAAAAAAATTTGTTAAATCAAAAAGGATAACTTCTAATTAAAATGTGTTACAATTTCAGACTTGGTACAGGATGGAATTTAAAAGGGAAGCCTTCGAAAAAGATCGAGGCGATTGAAGAATCTTACCCTCATAGTGACATTAATCAATTCTCTTGTGTTAAGTTTCTTTTAGCTATATCCGCAGACCCTAAATGGAGGCGACACTTGCCAAAGAGGTTGTACTTCCAGTTGTGTAATTTTCATAAGATTGAACCGCTCAATCCAGCAGACACGTGCTTATGGTAAAATCAAGACATCATTAATAACATTTGGAGTTTTATGTCCGAGAGAACCCTATCCAAAGTCATGCTCACTTGTAGGGAATGGGGTAGACTGATTCCATTTTTTGTGCATGACACGCCTTATATGGCTAATTGGGAATGAAGGCACTTTTCTAATCCTCAATTCAAATATGATAGGGGGATTAGGCGTCCATACGACAATTACCACCGGAGTTTATTTGGTGGTTACACAAGGTGTTGGTATTCGGGATGATTTACGCGCACTAATGTTACGTAGTCACGTCCTAGATAAAATAGTAGTTCCGATTTAGTGTTTGCATCTAATTATATTTTTGTCACACTATGTTGCATTTAAAGGAAATTTATATACAGTTTTTGATGTAGAGTAAATTGTTATTAGCTAAAGTTACTGTTTCTGATTAAAGTAGTTTCTTTTTTTCCTTTTTTTTGTTTTTTTTTTTTTTGTTTTGCTGTGTTTATATTCTCGTGGTTAATATTGGTAATATATATAGGTGAGTAGGTGTGACTATGTTTTTTAATTATTAAGCGTAGTGTGTTTGTTAGTGGAATAAAATGAATTTCATCAAAGGGACTATCTTGTACTGTGAGTAATAATCTAACTGCCATAATTGGAAAACAAACTTCCCATCAATTCACAACTATCAAACATTTTAGATCTTCACACACAGCTTTGACCAAAGCTGTTTTTTTTTTAAAAAAAAAAAAAAATAACAAGTTTCAACACTAAAAAATCATAATTAAAATAAGGCCCTCAGTTTTTCTTTTTTTTCACCACTAACTCAAAACTAACTGACCACTAACCATATCTAATTAAAAATTATTGCTTTTAAAAAATCAACATTAATTCAATTAACTGTTTCAAGAGTAAGAGTTAAAAACTATCCATTGTAAAATATTTAATCTGTACTAAAACAGCTAAAAAGAGTGACCTTTAGGATCATCCATCTAAAGCTTAGTTGAATAATTTTTACAAAATGAGAATGTCAATAGAGATGACAAAGTGACCTAAATACTTAACAACAAACTCCCTAAAGCACAATGCCATGTAAAAGAATGTGACATAAGTCACATAACACCACTAGTCACCTACATACATGTTAGGATCTAAATACATCAATTTCTTAAGCTTATGACTTCACCATTAAACATCTACATAGGCTACCTAACAACTTCACAAAATAAATACCATAAATAAAATATAATAAAAAAAACCAAAGGATTATCCAATCTTACCTACATCCTAGCAGTGCCTAAACAAATTCTTTAAAGTTTAGATCCTAGCAGTGCCTAACCACCATGTTAACAAATTATAAACACACTTCATCGTTGTCCTTCCACACATTCCTCCATTGGCTTAAGAAAATGGACGAAGAAGAAAATGGGAAAGCAACATGAGCCAAATTTTTTTTGGTGAGCCCCTTGTGTTTTCTTCATTTTCATTTTAGGGGAATTCTACTATGGTCATTCCTCATTTTGACCACCACTATAATAAAATTTGATTGGCCAATTTTTCATTTCCTTAAATAGTTTGTTAAACTTGTTTTTCTTATTTTTCATTTTTATTTCTCTTCTATTTTCTGAAAATTATATTTTTCATATTTTGAAATTATTTTAAAAAAATCATCTTTTAATTAAATCCAAAAATAAAATTAAATCAACAAAATAAAAATAATCAATCGGTTTGCATTGTTCTTCGTTGTTCTTCAAACTTCTTCAAAATTCTTCATCTACGGATGAATTTAACCTCTAATTAATGATCTTTGTACTTTAAATGTACTTGCGCATCAATGGACATCAAATATATAGCCACATCCGAACTGCTTAATCGATATTTTAAGTTTTTCAAATTTTGAGTTTTAGCGCAAATGGGATTGGTTTTTAATCCTTGAATAATTTTTTTTAATGTACAAAATCCATCAATTGATGTGAAATTATCATCTTTATTTAATCAAAATCTAAATTTTATGGTTTTTCAAAAATCTAGGTTCGACAAGAAATTCTGAGAAGAAAACGCTACAATTTTTTTTTTTTTTTTTTTTTTTTTATGAAACCTATTTGATCCGGAAAAAACAATTATCTAAATTTAAATCTTATTTGTGTATATGTAACTATGTAAGTAACCCATATACAGATTGGACATTACTTGTATGAAACATCTATATTAGTTATAGGCTATGACCATACGTTCATTTGGACATTACTAATTATTAGAATAAAATGTATTTCGGATGCTATTAAGATGATGTGATTATAATCTAATTAGATTTGTATTTTTTACCGATTATACATGTCTAATTGTCGTGTATATTTTGTTTTTGTACTTTTTAAATAATAAATTGACATGCTAAATTGTACTCCGTATTTCCTTTACTTTGCAATTTTAAATGGTAATATCCTACTACTATACCATTTGTGTCATAAACTAACTATACTAAAATGTGATTCAAATACTAATATTTTATATATGTATTGTAATATTATTGGCAATTATTAATTATACTATAGGTTAGTACCTATTGATTTAAAACCCACAATTTTGTTAGTAATATAGATATCTATATCTTAATACCTAATGATTAAGTAACTATAATTGTTGTCGAATATAATGTATATATTTTAGTCAAAGGAGATAATTAGCTTTACAATTATTTTCCTAGTTTAAAGCTTCTGTTAGATGTTACGTATTTTATGGAGATTGATTCCTAGTTTGTAGCCTAGGGTACGTCAAGCTTGTACATACTTTGTATATATTCTGTACAATTGAATGAGAATAGGAAGCAAAATATTCCCATCTTCTTTCATCATATCAAACTAATTATCTTCTTAGAATAAAGTATATACATTATATTTAACAATTAACAATTGTCTTCTACTATTGCTCCTAATTACTACAAAGTTTAAATTTTTGATAATATGGATTTGTAAGGAAAAAAAAACTCATGCATATAATAGTTGTTGTGTCGCATGTAATTATTCAGTCTAAACTAATGCAAGTATGCAACCAATCAAAAAGATTTGTATCAACAAAAACAGTCCTTACAATTTTTCATGGAAGAAAAATAAGCAATCACTGCCACTTATAGTCATATCTTATACTCCGTATAGCATAGTTGCTATAAAACAAGTAAATTACCGTGATATATAAAACTAACATTTTCTTTAATGAACTCAGTATTTTACTATTTTTATTAAACAACTTTCAAAAAAAATTTCATTTATTACTGTATTGAAGATTTTTACAAATAACTTTGTACTCCGTACTATTTACCTGCCATTATTGAATATTGTTACAGATTATTAATAAGAAACCAAATTATATACGATTACTTTATGATATTTACCTTTCTCAAATATATATAAATATATATCTTACAGTTACAATTGTTATCATTTATCCTATAAATAAGCAATCACCACTTATCGTCTTAGGTTAATATAAAAAATGGAATTGAATGACCTTCTCATTAGCATGCTTAATGCATATATACGGATTACAAGTCAAAAGCTAGCCTACAATTACATCATTATACAAGGGAAGGATATATACAAAATATACTCTTAACTAAATTAGAGATATGTACATAAAACAGAATATATGATAATTATATCATATATTCTAACTTTAAGTGTATGCCTAAGACTCTAAGAGTACCGACTCTCAACCACCATTATGCCACGTTGCATTCAACAAGTGGTGTATTGTATTTCTAAGTAAATGCGAGCTTCATGGATGATAGATGATAAAAATCCCATTAATTTGCATCCAATTTGTCAACATTATAGTCTTGGTTGCTGATATCGTCGTAAACGATGATTACGGTTTCTGGGGATAGGTAAATATGTACAAGATTTAGTATATGTTTAGTTGAGGATTAAAATTTACACATGAGAATGACGACTACCATTACTGTAGCAGTAGTTAATGCATTTCTTCTAAAGTTCTACATTATTATTTCTTCTAAAGTTCCTCGTGGAAATTTAACTTGCCAGAATGCCAGATATTGTGCGAGGTAAAATTTGAAGACTAAAGATGCTGATTATTCAATATATTTAGCTAGTAATTTGTTTTTTTACAAGATATTTAACTAGTACTACATTAATTGAAGTTCAATCCTAAATGTTTAAGTTATAAAGATTTTATTATAAGTAAGATATTACATGATGTTGAATTGACCACCTTATATTTTGATGATTGACCTACATAAAACAAACTTTGACTAACGACGTTTATGAGTCTTGGTTAAAACAGAAGATTCAGGTTTGAAGTTAAATGTTACGGAGTAGGAACAACAGAGTTTGGAAGACTTGATGATGAATGCAAGCTTTCAAGATGTCCTCACAACTCTATATTCTTAGTTACTCAGTGTACAGACTTAAGAAACAAAAGTGTTGGAAGGAATTAAGAAGAAACTCGAAGTTCCTGAAGGAACCTGAAGTTCCTGAAGGAACTTGACGAATGACTCAGAAAGTTTTAAGCGAAAGTTTTAAAACGGTTTTCAAAACCCTTAATTTAAGGAAGTGATAAAAATCAGTTTTGAAAAAGATTTAAAAAGATTTTATAAATAAATAAATAATTCATTAATTTAAAAAGATAAGTTTTAAATTAATTAATTATTTATGTTTTAATTAATAAATAAATAATTATCTTTTTTTAATAAATAATAATTATCTTTTGAATAAGTCTTTAACTGATTTTTAACTTGGTAAATATTGGTTGCTTAAATTAAGGAGCACGTTGAATTTAGGAGTCAAGCTAGGGAAATCATGTTCCTAAATTTCCTCTGCCTACATCCCAACTTCTCAGTCAAAGAGAACGTGGGATTAAGGGGGAAGTGGGAACTTGATAAAAGCTTGATTTAACTCCTTATAAAAACAAATTAACGTTAAGTTTTGAAAGTGTGGAAAAACAATCTTAAGTATTCTGAGCATAGAGTTTCAAAGTGTTTAAAAGAGAAGTTCCTTCCATCCTTAGTCTCTTAAGTTCTTTAGGAAATACTTGTAATCATTGTGTAATTGGGTTTGGGTTGTGAGAGTTGTAAAGTGTGAGACTTGAGAGAGTTGTTTACACTGTACAAGTGATTCCGAGTAGAATCACAAAGTGTGAGAAACTGTGATTGAGGGATCACAGTTGGGTAACTTGAGTTCCTCACGGAACTTGAGTCTAGGCAACGTATTAGTGATTGTAAATCATTTTTACATAGTGAATTTATTCATTGCCTATCTCAATGTCTTTTCTCTTAGTAGTAGATTTAATTCCGCAAAATTTACCATAGTCTACATACACTACAATTCACCCCCCCTCTTGTAGTATACATTGTTCTATCAATTGGTATCAGAGCAAGGAACTCGGAAAAGCAGGAAGCCCTGTCGAGTCAAGTTCCTGGAGGAACAATGTCGAAGGACGAGAGACTAGCTGAAGGTTATTCTACACAAAGACCTCCACTCTTCAATGGGAAGTACTACGCCTATTGGAAGACGAGGATGGAGATGTTCATACAGTCCGAGAATTATCAAGTCTGGCGAGCTATCGAGGTAGGAGATTACGAGGTAACAAAGACCAATGCAGAAAATGAGGTAATTCCTAAACCTATTTCTGAATACGATAGAAGCGACTTTGAGAAGAAAGAGATTAATGCTACTGCTAAAAAACTCCTAGTTTGGGGTTTAGGGCCAGATGAACACACTCGTGTT